GACCTCATTGTGTCCGAGAGTGGAGAGAAGGCTCCCAATGTGGTGTACAGAGGGAAGCTGAAGAACAACCGTCTTGTCGCCATCAAGCGGTTCTCCAGACAGTCCTGGCCCGACCGCAAACCGTTTCTGAAGGGGGCCGCCGGAGTTGGGAAACTCCGGCACGAGAGATTGGTCAATTTGATCGGTTGTTGCGCCGTGGGAGACGAGCGATTGTTGGTCGCTGAGTATATGCCTAACGATACCCTCTCCAAGCATCTGTTTCACCGTATGGTTCTATTTTCTTTATTCCTTCGTAACTTTTCCTTTGATACCGATATGACATGCCAATTCGGAAAGATGCTTCCTTTTCTCCTATTTCATCACTAGCAATTGTCTGCAGCAGGGAAAGAAAAACCATTGCCATGGGAAATGCGCGTCAGAGTTGCATACTATATTGCACAAGTACTTGATCATTGCAATGCTGAGAACTGCAAAATTTATCATGATTTGAATGCGTGCAGAGTTCTCTTCGATGAGGTATGCCATTTTCTCTAGATTGAATGCTAGTACGAGTCTTATGGTTGGCTTGTTTGGTACTCATTATTTTGAACATCCTCTCTAGTTTGGTGATGTTTGCATCTTTGGGGGATTCTACTTATGCAAATTTAGGCGAGTAAGTTGGCAGCAGAAATGATCATTCTTGATACTTTTTTTTATGCAAATTGCATTCCCATGGTTTAGATATCTGCATCAATTCAGAATTTAGCCCATTCTTATTTGAGAATCTTCTTGATGGTTGGTACACATGAATCGGATGTTATTAACAGTGCTTGTGTTTATGATGAAAAAAATTGAGGGATTCGTGTTACATATGAGCAAAAGAAGTTTGCAATATATCTTTTTAAAATTTTTGAATCCTGCTACACACTACACATAACCCTGTTCAGTATCCAAGGTTTCATTCAGATTGTGCTTCAAATTTGCCAACTGAATTCTTTTTTCTTTACTTTTCTTTTCTTTATTGATTTTCCGTTCTTGACTTGTAATTAATGTCTTTGGTTTCATCTTTGTGCCAGGATGCAGACCCTGGGTTGTCTAGTTTTGGATTAATGAAGCATAGCAGAGACGGAAACAGCTATGGCACTAATTTGGCTTATGCTCCACCAGAGTTTTTGCTGACAGGTACCTTTTGCTTTCTTTGGACTATCAAAGTCTACCGATGGGATGTTTGAATATTACCAACATTTCAGTCAAAATAGCCATTAATTTTGTACCTAGAGTGATTTTGGTTTAATTCAATTGTGTTTTGGGTAAGCCTTTTGGAATTACAAGTATTTCATTACTGATTTTAATGGGTAATGCTTTTGCTGCTTTTAATTTGGATAATTAAGTTTCACAGGTCGGGTCATCCCAGAGAGTGTGATTTACAGTTATGGAACTGTTCTTCTGGACCTTCTGTGTGGAAAGCATATCCCTCCCAGCCATGTAAGATGCTTTTGGATCTCTTATCTTCATTTATTTCCTGTATCCTGGGTACCTAGTAAATCTGTTTCAATTTGATTGTTTTTGTATCATATATCACCTTCTAAATGGTTAAAGTTCTTGATTGATTAGATGAGTCTTCTTTCTTTTAGCATCTATACTACCCTCTGCTACAATTATAATATCTTGAGTGGTGTTGCTTATATTGGTTTTATTTGACATCATTACATGATTCTCAATTTTCCAGGCACTGGATTTGATAAGGGAAAAGAATTTGTTGTTGTTAATGGACTCATATTTAGAAGGACAATATGCCAATGAAGATGCCTCTGAGTTGGTTGAACTGGCTTCAAAATGTCTTCAGTATGAAGCTAGAGATCGACCTGATTTCAAGTTTCTCATGTCTGCTGTGGCACTCTTTCAGAAGCAAAAAGAGGTGGGATTTAAAGTCCTTAAATTTACCATTTTCTTTCTTTGAAATGGCGGTGGGATGGAAGAAGCTGCTTCTTGTATGGATAGGGTGATAAGTAGATGGTTAGATGCATCTTAGCTGGACTAATTGGTAGAATTAACATTGGTTTTCCTAGGTTGCATCAGATGTTCTGATGGGTCTCTTTAAAACTCCAGTGGTGCTGCCAACTAAGCTTTCTCCATTTGGTGAGGTATGTGCAAGGATGGATCTAACTGCAGTACATGATATCTTGCTAGTAACTGGTTATAAAGAAGAAGAAGAGCGTTCAGCAAATGAGGTGGGTTATGGCTATGCTGCTTCTTGATAGCATGCTTAGTATTTAGTTGAGAATATGTAATCTTTTAGAGAAGCTGAGAGGATTTTATAGTAGACTTTTCTTAGATTTACTTGTATACGTTGACTGGTTGCACCTCCTTTTTTGATTTGGGGAGACTGTGGCTGCTACTTGTTCTTCCATCTCCTTTCTAGCAAGTCATGCATATACTTACCAATGAATTGTTTGTGTTGGATTAGTAATATTGCATAATTATGATATAATTTGCTGGCTTCCTGTTTCTAAAGCTTTCATTCCAAGACTGGACGCAACAAGTTCAGGAAATGTTGGAATTGAGGAAACCCGGAGATATTGCTTTTAGAGACAAGGATTTTCAGAATGCCATTGATTATTACTCAAAGGTACCAACCTCCTTGTTCTTCTTTACCATGCTCTTTTTACGTTATGAACAGGAACAACTTGCAGAATGTTATATTTCAAAATTAATCAGCTGTGGTTATATCTCCAAATTGCACTCTCCCCTTCTAAAAGTTCCCTGTCACAATGTTCATTTCTTGTTCAATAATCAAACTTCTTTCTTTTTGTCCTTTTTTGGAGCTAGTCAGAGTTTGCACTTTCTGCTTAACTCATTAATTTCTGCTCCTTACTCTGCTACCACAATCTTATACATTTAAATTTTGGATCTTTTATGTAAATGCAGGCAATGATGTGGAAGCTTTCTGGTACTGTGCTTGTGAGACGGGCCCTTTCATATTTGATGATCGGTCAACCAGATCTGGCGTTGAGGGATAGCCTGAAAGCAAAGTTGTGCTTGCCCGAGTGGCCTACTGCACTCTACATGCAATCTCTTGCCCTCTCAATGCTTGGAATGGAAACCAATGCAAAGGACTCTCTGAACGAGGGTGCCTTTATTGAGGCAAATAGGTAGAACGGGCTGGCGCATTGAGATAATTATTTACCGTTAGACAGAAACAATCTCTTTGGATGGATAATATCGTGGATGTGTAGATCATTTGCCTTTTTCTACTATGGTACTGCTGAGATCTTGGAAGGAAGTAGTGAGAGTAGAAGCAAATATTTTTGTTTGTCTCACTTTATGTGCCCTTTTATGTTTGTAGGGAGAACAGTTTTCATACAAAGAAATTTATAAAGAAAATTAAATTATCAGGAAATCATTAGAGAGAAAAGGCAACTTACTGATCAATTTTAGGATTTTGGAAATGATATATTCTTCGAGCAATATTGTTAGTCGCTGGGTGACAAAAATGTAAACAATGATAAATTCAAGGGAAAATTGCCTACTTATGGTATATGTGAGTGTGTGTGTGTGTTTTTTTTTTCTTTTAATATCCATTTAGGAGAGGTTAGAAAGTTGATTCCACAAGAATGCTAAACCCAAACAGTAGCTTGAAATACCATCTTTGCCCTTCACCCAAAATTTAATTTTCAAAATTGTTGTTATCCGTTGTTTTTCTCTGCGGCCTACAATGCTAACCATGGCAAAGTACAAAATGGTAAGGAGTGGAAGAGAGTAGTCACAGGACCCCATTTTACAACTATTGAGGGTAGAAATGGGGTCATGTCCCATGTTACTGCGACACAAAGATTTGAATTGGTAACACAGTATTAGATGTTACATATACATATAGTATATATATATATTAGGTATTTTTTAATAATATATTTATTATTTATATTATATTATATTTTATAACATACTATGCGTATGGGATGTATACGGGTACAATTTTTAATGCATAAAATATGGAGAAAGATCAATTAAGGAAGGAAGATAAAAAGATTAGAAAAAAGGAGGTCGTTGAAAATTGTTCTACTTTTAAAATATATATATATCTTGAAGTTCAAAGTGCTTTGAATTTGAAATGGAAAAATCTGTCACCAAAGTCATATTTAAAATATTATTGGTTATAAACACTAGATACAAGATGTCACAATCATTTGAAGAAGAGTTGTATTTGTTTTGTTTGAATTTTTTTTGACAATAAAAAATTTTAAGTTAAGTTAGTCAACATTTAATTTTAAAAAAAATTGAATTTATTATCAATGTGCATTTCCCTGGTCAATAAG